GAACGAGGGACCTGGTGGGGCAGGTGGGGGCAGCCGGGCCCAGTCAAGGGGAACGGCCACAGGTTTCAGCAAGCCCAGGCTGAGTACACAGCCCCCGGGGGGCTGGCGCCCTAGACCTGCCCTGCCCACACCACCAAGTTGTGCCAGGGACACAGCCGTGGTGGTGGCACTCATGTAGGGCCCCTCGAGGGGGAAACCTCCAGGGGATGCAGGGGGCCCACCAAAGGGCCGTGGGGAGTCCAGAGAGTCTACAGGCGACAGTGTGACCGAGCTCTCAGCCAGAGGACCCGGGCAGGCCAGTGTCAGCTTCTTGCCCCGGCCCCGGGTGCCCTGCGGTCCCAGCCCTGCTTTCCCTGGTGGCCTTCGGCTCTTCTTGCCCCCCGACTGTGCCGCCTTGAGGCCAGGGAGGAAGGCCCCGGGCGGGCAGAGCAGGGGCCCGAGGCCATGGGAGCCCGAGGGACTGCGCGGCCCACTGGGCTGGTCTAGCAAGCGCACGATATCCTGGTGCAGCCTCTCCTGGGCCACGTCCCGGGGCAGCCTGTCCAGATGGTCAGTGATCTCCCGGTTGGCAAAGTGATCCAGCAGCAGCTTGGCAGCCTCATAGCTGCCTTCCCGGGCAGCCAGGAACAGTGGTGTCTCCTCCTGGGGGGAGCCGAGAACCAGCCAGGTGTCAGGGTCACAAGGGCTGGCAACACCAGGGCCTCCGTCCTCTGATGGAACCTGAGAGCTAAGGTTCCAGCCTGACCGACCTGGGCTGGACTCTCTGCTCTGATGGGGAAGCCAAGGCAAGTTCTTTTATTTAAACCACAGCCATGGTGCACCTACTAAGTGCCAGGCCCCAGTGCCAGGAACAGGGTGAGAAGAGTAAGGCACTCGCCTTAGGCACAAATTTCAAAGGGGCAGGAAAACTCTCAGTCATCAAAATTAATATTTTAATGCAATTTTTAATTAATTTAAATTAATGCTAAAATTCCATTAAAAAATATGGAAATTTTAAATAAGGACAGAATCCATCCTGCACCCCTCTGAGACTCACTCTGCTTATCTGAGTAGAGTAACACCAGCTTCCAAGGCTTTTTAAACAACGATCAAAAAGTTACCTTCTATTGAGGTAACACATTACCTCACTGAATCCTTGGAAGAGGCAATGAGATAGGTACTGTTGCTTCTCCATTTCACAGATGAGAACACTGAGGTCCAGAGGAGTTAAGCAACTTTCCCAAGGTCACATAGTACCTGCCACACACTTCCTCTTCTGATCTACTGTTGGAGCCTCCTGAGCCCAATTCTCACCCCTGAAAGCTGGCTGCAGGCTGGGTGAATGCTCCCACTTCCCTACTCCACCCCACTCTCTGCTACCTGGTAGGAGGAGTTCTGTGCTAGGGATGACTCCCTGGTGAGCCAAGGGCTGGGGCTCACCTTGCTGTCTTGCATGTCCTTGTTGGCTCCATTTTTGAGCAGGGCCAAGGTGGCCTCCACGTTGTTGACAGCTGCAGCCCAGTGTAAGGCTGATTTCCCTGGGGGGAGTGCAGAGAGGTCAAGGTCAGAATCAGGCTCATGTCCTGACCCTCCAAGGCAGAGAAGCAGGAAATGCCCAGAATATGGCCGGGTGAGAAGAAGCAGACCTGCCATGAGGATCTGAGCACCTGTGTTTGGGTCTGTGTATGTGTGCAGATCCGTAGAATGACTCTCTGTCCAAGGGAGACACTGTACAGGTGTCTTCCATGGCCTGGGGCTCCTGTACATGTCACTCTCCATATCAGAGGGAACTATGCAGCCCTCACTTGTTTATTCCTAGAGGTGTGCTATTTGATGCAATTGCCACCAGTCCCATATGCCTCTTTAGATTTAAATTAACTAAAATAGGTGTCAAACCCATGCAGTGGGGAAAGAATAGCTTTCTCAACAAATGGTGCTGGAACAACTAGATATCCACATGCAAAAAAATTAAGGTGGATCCCCTACCTCACACCATATAAAAAAAATCACTCCAAGACCTAAATGTAAAAGCTGAAACTATAAAATATTTAGAATAAAATATAGGAGTAAATCTTTATGGTCGCGAATTAGACAAAGATTCTTAGATGTGACACCAAAAACAGAAACAGTAATACAACAAAAATATGTAAACTAGACATTATCAAAATTAAAATGTTTGTGCTTTGAAGGACAACATAAAGAAAGTGAAGCCCTCACTCAGTTGTTTAGAGCATCATCCTGATATGCCAAGGTTGAAGGTTCTATTCCCAGTCAGGATTCAAACAAGAATCAACCAATGAATGCATAAGTAAGTGAAACAACAAATCACTCTCTCTCTCTCTCTCTCTCTCTCTCTCTCTCTCTCTCTCTCCTCTCTCTCCCCCTACAAATTGAAAGAAATATTTATAAATCATATATCTGATAAGAAACATACTTAGAATACATAACCTTTGTAACTCAATAATAGAAAGACAGCCTGGCAGGCTCAGCTTAGCAGTTGATCATTGACCTATGAACCAAGAGGTCACGGTTCCATTCCCAGACAGGGCAACCCCCATGGGGGGTGTGCAGGAGGCAGTCTATCAATGATTCGCTCTTATCATTGATGTTTGTATCTCTCTCTCCCTCTCCCCTCCTCTCTGAAATCAATAAAAGTAGATTTTAACAATATAGAAAGACAAATAACCCAATCAAAAATAGGCAAAACATCTGAATGGACATTTTGCAAAAGAAGACACATACAAATGGCCAATAAGCATATAAAGAGATGCTCAAAATCATTAGCCATCAGGAAAATGAAAATCATAAACCACAATGGGATACCAATTCACACCCACTATAAACAAAACAACAGATAATAAAAAGTGTTGGCAAGGAGTGGAGATATTGGAACCTTCATACACTGGTGGTGGGAGTGAAAAATGGGACAGCCACTGTGGAAAGCAGTCCATCATCACAGAAAGTTCTATTGGATAGTGCTCCTCTAAAGCCGTATTTCTCAACCAGGGGTGATTTTCCCCCCAGTGGCATTGGCAATGTTGGGAGATATTTTTGGTTCCACAACTGGGAGGTGGGCTACTAGCATCTAATAGTTCAAGGCCAGGGTGCTGCTTAACACCCTGCAATGCAAGGATGGCCCCCACCACCAATCCCACATGTCATTGGTAGGTTAAGAACACCTGTTCCAGCCCTAACCGGTTTGGCTCAGTGGATAGAGTGTCGGCCTGTGTCCCAGATTTGATTCCAGTCAAGGGCATGTACCTTGGTTGCAGGCACATCCCCAGTAGGGGGTGTGCAGGAGGCAGCTGATCGATGTTTCTCTCTCATCGATGGTTCTAACTCTCTATCCCTCCCCCTTCCTCTCTGTAAAAAATCAATAAAATATATATTTTTTAAAAGAAAGCAGATACTCTAAGTTTTAAAAAGAGAGTGATGCGCTTAATACACCTCAGCAAAACCATGTTTAAAAAAAATGCACAAGAGTGTAAGTCCATATTGCAGCCCTGTTATGTGTACAGGAACTTCAGTGATGGGATCACAGTGTTCACAGTGGGTGAGGGTTCACACAAACAAGACAGTCAGGGTCCATGTGACATCCTCTCAGCCTCCATCACCCACCAGCCTACCAAGTTCGTCCACAGCATTGACATCAGCGTGGCTGGCAATGAGCTCTTCCACCATGCCCTCCACCGCCAGGCGGGCCGCCAGGATCAATGCGGTCGACCCATCTGCCATGCGGGCATCCAGGTCTGTGGAGCGGTTCCGGATGAGAATCTAGGGGAGGGAGGTGCAGCAGGGGGAGTCATGGCAGACACAGGGGAACCAGGAGCACCTCTAAGCCCTCTGAGGACCCAATCCCCACATCTCCTGGAATCAATGAGATTCAGGGAGACACTGTACTCCCATCTATCCCCATTTTACAAAAAAAAAAAAAAAAGCTCTGAAAGGCAGAACTGGGGTTCCAACCCAGATCAGTCCGATGCCTGTCCCAGCTCTGATGTCCAAAGCGGCAGGCCCATCTCACCTGGAAGACGCCCTGGGCATCGGCAGTGACAGCCGTGTGCAGGGGGGTGCGCCCTGAGTGGTCTTGGGCGTTGGTATCTGCTCCAGCATCCAGCAGCCGCTTGGCGGCATCAGCCCGGGCATAACGGG